GCCCATGAAATGGTCTTGCCTAAGTCCACCACATCATCCTGTGCCAGGTCTAGGCCATCCCCCATGTGTCCAGGCCAAGAGTGCATCACTTGACTTGGGATGGGCACTCAAAATCCTTTCTTACACCAGGGAAAAATACTAATCCACTACCAGGGAGCACCTAGACAGCAGAGGCCTCCTAATTGACATCCATGTTCAGGGGTCTGGATCCCTCCTGTACTGGCCACCCAGACTGGTGTCTGGGGTCCACGTGCTTCCACTTGTACAGGCCAGCTGTTTCAGCGGGTTTCACCAGCCAGGTACCCACCCTTTGATCTTCATTCCTTCCTCTCTACATCTAAGTTCCAGAGTCCAGTTCAGTGTATATCTATGGGTGTCTGCCTCTGCTTCCCTCAGCCACTGGATGATTGTTCTGGGATGGCATAAAAAGTAGTCATCAGTCTCATTAAAGGGGAAGGTTCCCTCACCAAATAATAATCAAAACCCCAAACATACAGAATAAAGAAAAAATAATAAGAGGAGCAAAGGAAAAGGGCAAGGAACATATAAAGGCAGACCTATCAGAATCACACCCGACTTCTCAATGGAAACTTTGAAAGCCAGAAGGTTATGGATAGATATCCTACAAACACTAAGGGAGCATGGAGACCAACCCAGACTACTGTACCCAGCCAAACTTTCAATCAATATAGATGGAGAAAACAAGATATTCCATTTCAAAACCAGTGTTAAACAATACATATCCACAAAACCAGCACTACAGAAAGTTCTGGAAGAAAAACTCCAACCCAATGAAGATAAATACATTCACAAAAACATAGGCAATAGATAATCCAATTTTACCAAACACGAAAAGAAAGAGGAGGGCAAAATACATGCACAATGACACCACCAACAATAAATCCAAAAGAAACAACAACCAACAAAAATGGACAGTTATATACCTCAAGGACAATGGTCTTAACCTGCCCATAAAAAGATACAGGCTAACAATAGGGATATGAAGACAGAATCCATCCTTCTGCTGTATACAAGAAACACACCTCAACTTCAAAGACAGGCTCTACCCTCAGAGTAGAGGGTTGGGAAAAGATTTTCCAATTAAACTGGGTCCAATAAATAAGCTGGTGTATCAATCCTCATAACTAACAAATTAGACTTCAAATTAAAATCAATCAAAGAGATGAAATAGATCATTTCATGCTCATTACAGGAAAAGTCCATCAAGATGAAGTATCAATCCTGAACATCTATGCCCCAAATATGAAGGCACTCACATTTGTAAAAGAAGCATTACTAAAGCTCAAACTACACATAAAACCACAAACACTTATAGTAGGGGACTTCAACACCCTGCTTTCACCACTAGACATGACCACCAGACAGAAACTTTAACAAAGAAACAAAGGATGTGACAGAAGTTATGACCCAACTGGGTTTAAAAGATATCTATAGAACATTCCATCCAAACACAAAAGAATATACCATCTTTGGCAACAAAGCAAAGCTCCACAGATACAAAAGAATTGAAATACAACTAAAAAAGAGAACTACAGGCCAATATCCCTCATGAACATCGATGTAAAAATACTCAACAAAATATTGGGGAATCAAATCTAAGAACACATCAGAAAAATCGCCCACTATGTTCAAGTAGGCTTCATCCCAGGGATGCAAGGATGCTTCAACATATGAAAATCTATCAGTATAATCCACCATATAAACAAACTAAAACAGAAAAATGACATGATCATCTCACTAGATGCTGAAAAAGTCAATGATAAAATCCAACCTCCTTTCATGATAAAGATCTTGGAGAGAACAGGAATAACAGGAACATATCTAAACATGATAAAATATTATACAACAAACCAACAGCTAACATCAAAATAAATGGAGAGAAACTCAAAGAAATTCCTCTAAAATGAGGAAAAAGACAAGGCTGACCACTCTCTCCATATCTCTTCAATATTGTACTTGAAGTTCTAGCTAGAGCAATAAGACAAGCAAAGGGGATCAAAGGGATCCAAATTGGAAAGGAAGAAGTCAACTCTCACTATTTGCAGATGATATGATAGTCTACATAAGTGACCCGAGAACGTCTACTAGGGAACTTCTACAGCTGAAAACACCTTCAGCAATGTAGCAGGATACAAAATTCACTCAAAAAATCAGTAGCCCTACTATTACAGATGATAAAATCAATGAGAAAGAAATCAGAGAAGCAGCATCACACTTCACAATATCCACAAACTACATAAAATAACTTGGAGTAACACTAACCAAAAAAGTGAAAGAACTGTACAGTAAGAAATTTGAGTCTTTAATGAAATAAAGTAAAGAAGATACCAGAAAATGGAAAGATCTCCCATGCTCTTGGATAGGTAGAATCAACATAGTAAAAATGGCAATCTTGCCCATTGTAATCTACAGATTCAAAGCAATCCCCATAAAAATCCCAGCACAGTTCTTCACAGACATTGAAAGAACAATACTCAACTTTATATGGAAAAATAAAAAATGCAGGATAGCCAAAACAACTCCTTATAATAAAGGATCTTCTGGAGGCATCACTGTCCCCGAGTTCAAGCTCTACTACAGAGCCATAGTTCTGAAAACAGTTGGTATTGGCACAAAAATAGACAGATAGACCAAGGGAATCAAATTGGAAACCCTGATATTAACCCACACACCTATGAACACCTTATCTTTGACAAAGATTCCAAATCAATACAATTGTAGAAAGATAGCATCTTCAACAAATTGTCCTGACACAACAGGATTCCAACATGCAGAGATTGCAGATAGATCTGTCACCATGCATAAAACTAAATGCAAATAGATCAAAGATCTCAACATAAATCCAGCCACACTGAATCTTCTAGAAGAGAAAGTGGGAAATACCCTTGAACGAAGAGGCACAGTAGACTGTTTCCTGAACATTACACCAGTACCACAGACATTGAGATCTGCCATTAATGAATGGGACCTCCTGAAACTGAGAAGTTTCTGTAAGGCAAAGGAAACCGTCAGTAAGACAAAACGACAGCCCACAGAATGGGAAAAGATCTTCACCAACCCCACATCTGACAGAGAGCTGATTTCCAAAATATACAATGAACTCAAGAGGCTAGCCACCAAAACACCAAAGAATGATATTAAAAAGTGGGTTACAAAATTCTCAACAGAGGAATCTGAAATGGCTGATAGACAGTAAAGAAAGTGCTTAAATTCCTTGGCCATCAGAGAAATGAAAATCAACTCTGAGATACCATCTTTTTTTATTTTACTACTTCAAATTAGGAAAAAGCTTGCTTCACATGTCAATCCCTTCTCCCTCTCCCCCATCCCCCACAACTTCCAACCTGCCCCTAGCTTTCCCTCCTCCACTCTGCAGGCAGGGTATTGCCCTCAAAAGGATCTTCCCAAAGTCTAACACATCATCCTGGGCCAGGCCTAGGCCTTTCCCCATGTGTCCAGGACAAGAGAGCGTCCCTTCACATGGGATGGACTCTCAAAATCCCTTCTTTTTTTAAGACCTTACATATTTAATTTAACGTGTACCCCCTGTACAAATGGAAAAAATTAAGTTCAACATTTCTAGACCAATATGGCTGTTAATTTTTGTACAATGCCAACTCAACACGGTAAACTGGGATACTTTTTTCCAAAGTTGACAGTACAGCTAAAGTTTCCAAAATTCATCTCGTATATGTATATATATTTAAATTTATATAAAAAACCAATAATGGCAGTAAGTTATGCTTCAATAGCAACAACAGCTTTTCCAGTTTCTGCAGTCATTTGAACAAAATTGTAGAGACATTTTTTTTAATGGAAAGTGCTGAGATACTATCTTGCACCACCAGAATGACTAAAATCAAAAACACTAATGACAATCTATGCTAAAGAGAAGATGTGATGTGAAGGAAAAAGGAACTAACCTCCATTGCTGGTGGGAGTGCATACTTGTAAGACCACTTTGGAAACCAGTATGGCATTTGCTCAGAAAAATGGGAATCAGTCTACCTCAAAATCCAGCAATACTTCTCTTGGGAATATACCCAAATAACACAGTCCATACAACAAGGACATATGTTCAACCATGTTCATAGAAGCATTGTTGTAATAGCCAGAACCAGTAAGACTTTATTTTCAAGCTATTTATTTATTTATGATTGTCTATATCCCTTTACTTTCTTTTTTCTTAAGCCTACCCACATCGTTAAACACACTGTAACCAATTTAGAGGATTTTTCCACCTGAACCTGCTTTCCTGTGTATCTGCAAACTTTTCTGTCTGTATGAGTGCAACTCAAACTACTGTACAGCTTAGGTCATGCAGTGCTGGTGGCTCTATGTCTGCAGGCTGCAGCTGTGAGACACATCTTTGTATCATGGCCCAAGGGGAGACTGTGGGACTAAGAAGCCATGTTTGGCTCCATTTTTGTGTATTTTAGGAACATTTTTAAAAAGCCTTCTCAAGTCTTATGTGGAAACACATGCTCCACACTTGACACCATTTGTAGGCAGACCTTTTCATTGAGACCTCTGGCTCCCCAGTAATGACATGGTGACTTATTATTAGTTATGAAGGCTTGGCCTATTAATAGTTTAGGCTTGTTTCTAACTATCTCTAATAACTTAAATTAACCCATATCTTTCAGTCTATGATCTTATATGTGGCTAAGTTACCTTTACTTTTTAATGGCCAGGCTGCTGCTTCTCCATCTGGCTGGCAACTCCCCCTTCCTTCTTTTTGTCTGAATCCTGTGTGCCTGACGATCCTGCCTAGCTATTGGGCATTTGGCTTTTTATTAAAACAATCAGAATGACACATCCTCACAGTGTACAACAAGATTATTCCACAACAGAGAGGAGGACACATATATTGGACAGACACTCAGAAACCAGGTTTCTGCTTTATTGGGAGGGAGTAGATGACTACATGAGTATTCTGTGCAAAAGAGAAGTATCTTCAAGGATTCTCCTGGCAGATATTGGAAATACCAGAGCTGACACTTCAGACCTTTTAATCCACCTGTTTGGAAGAATTCCAGGCCTTGACTTTTCTCTGTAGTTTCAATGACCTGATCTCAATGAGGATCATAACTACAGAAACCAGTGAAAGAATTGTTGCCATGATCCCAATAGGAAACACATGAGTGTGGTGTTTCTTTATCAGGGCTTCTTTCCTAACAGGAAAATTGGGTGGAAAGTCAAGGGTTGTTTCACCATAAAGATCTACTACATGGTTCCAGGTGACAGAAAGAACCGTGCAAAGACCGCTGAGAACCAGAACTAAGGCATAGCCCTTGTAGCAGACCACCTGTATATCAGGGACTTCGGCTTTTATGATGCTGATTCTAATTGCCACTAAGCTGCAAACCAGGATAACAGGTTTTATCAAAATCGACAGCAATATCAGGTTCCGAGCATACCGAAATTCAGGTGAAATTGTCCAGCTTGAGTTGACCGGGATGTGCACTGGAATACTGACCACCGAGGTAGAGATGTTTAAATCTTGATTGTAAAAAGCTTCCCAGAGGCCAATGTACACAAGCTGAACATATTTGTCGTCGAATTCCCACAGGCGCCAGTATCGGCTGTGTACAAGGATTAGTCCAAATGCCAAAGACCAGAGGCTGCAAAGGAAGCCAATGAGTTTGAAGATCCACTTCTTCATCTCAGTAAATCTGCACATGAGATTGAACAAACAGAGTCAAGTTACAAGTATGAAGAATAGTGAAAAAACAGAATAAGTCATGGTTTACAGTGTAGTAAGTTCTCACACCTTGTCCCTGTTGTCACACACATACTTGTATTAAAGTAGTCAATATACTTACTCTACACAAAAGTTTAAATGTATATAAGAAATCTTGAAATCTATGGCTGTGGCAGGAATTCCCATCTCAAGAGATTTTGGACAATATTTCACAGTGTCCTCCAAATGCTGTTTGTTGACTAAGAATATACAGTCAATTCAGGAACAGAAGGGAAGTCAGGAAAACCAAATGAGATATGATTTACCAATAACTATATACTCACGCCTTGCTCTTGCATCTCAAAATTGTGTTTCAATAATCCAAATACTGTGTATAAAAATAACGGAAGGATTGGAGAAACAGTTCAGTGGTTAAGAGTGTAGTGTTCTAGCTTAGGACCCAATTTCAGTTCCCAGCACTCACTTTGGGTGGCTTACAATTCCGTGTAACTGTACAAGGTCCTCTTACAACGACCTGTACTTGCATGCATATATCCACCCACAGACATAGAGACACATAATCTAAAATAAAATAAATATTAATAAAAGAAGAGAAAGCAACTAGAAATCCATGACTATGCAAAAGTACCCATTATAAGGTTTGAAAATGATTTGATTATTTGTCTGCACGTATGTCTGTGTACCACATCCATGCTTGGTGCACCCTTCTGTGTGGAGGTCAGAAGAGGACATTGTATCCCTCGGAACTGGAGTTCTAGATAGTTGTAAGCTGTCATGTAGGTGGTGAGAATGGAATAGGTGTCCCCTGGAAGAACAGTCAGTGCTCTTAATCATTAGCCAAATATAAGATATTTTAGACAACAATATGGCAATGTCTTTTGTTAGGGTACCCTGTACCTCAGGTGGCAGTGCACCATGTCTGGACAGCTCTCTGAGCTTAGTGTCAAATGGAGGACTCCCCTCCCCCAGCATGGCTACCTGCTCTCTCCCTGACCTTATCTGGAGCTGTCCCTAAACAGCTAAATGGATGCCTGACCTATCTGGAGCATGACCTTTGATAAAGATCCTTGCAGATGCTCACCCCCGCTGCCCATATAATAATTAGGCTTTCTGCTCCAGCTGTATGGTAGGACTGTGCTCACAATCTTTCACAAGTTGAAATGTTCACATTTTTTTACTAGAAATTTCATTTCCTGCAATTAATAGTAGCATAAGAAGTTCAATATCATATATAATGTGATATTTATTTTATTTCTGTTTTCAAATCAGAAAAAACAATTATTAATATCCTAAGTGAGTATAGAAAGCAGAGGATTGCTTAGTTTAATTGTGACTTCTCCAATAGTGTAGTGGAATATCACAGGATCATTACCAAGCATGGATTAATGTATATGATCTTAGAGGAAACAAGCAAAATGAAAAATAATACACATGGAATGCCCATTTATGTCCAAGGAAAACATACTTCTTCAAATATCTAAGAAGATAGGAATATAACAGTTGTGCAAAAATAGAAAATCTAAGCATATCAATTGGTGGAATAGAAACTATCATTCCTATTTGCACACTTTCCTAGAATGTGCACATTTCTAAAAAAAACCTGTGCATGGCATTTTATAACTTAAGACAGAGTGAACACAAACCTTAAACATCCATTTGTAACTGGAAGGAGGTATAGCTTGTTGGTGGTGTAATTAACTAACAGGTGTGAGGCACTGAGGTCACTCTCCACTCCCAGGAAATAAAATGTGCATGTAGAAGATGAAGAACATTGGCTATGTCCATTTTTTAGCTATTCTTATTTTGTTGTTTTGTTTTGTGTTTACAGAAAGGGTTCCTCTGTGTACTTTGGAGCCTATCCTGTCCCTCGGTCTGTCGACCAGGGTGGCCTCGATCTCACAGAGATCCACCTGCCTCTGCCTCTGGAATGCTGGGATTAAAGTCATGAGCCACCAACGGCCAGCTTTGTAGCTATTCTTTACTCTACATTCCACCTTGAAACAATTAGGTGCAACATACAATGTACACTGATGTATTTTGGGTGAACAAGTATCTTCTTCGAAGCAAAACTTACACTCCCCTTTCACACTATGAGGCAACTTATTTAGATCTTTTGACAACTCAAATCTTTGAATGTAGCAATAATGAAAATGAGAAAATCCCACTGAAGGATCCCACTGATTCATTTAGTAAAAAGGAAGGCAAAGTCCTTAAGTAGCTAGTCACATAGATAATGCCATTGCCATTGCCATTGTCCATGCAGAAGTTTTGAGGGACCCTTAAACTGGATCTCCTTACCAGAAAACCCTCCCTACCAGCTACCCACTGTTCCAAGTCCTCTGTGGAATGCGCTTTCTAACTGGGTGAAGCCAGTATACCTGCTCTACTAGGGAAGTAACATCAGCAAGTTAGGTGTGAAACTGAGGGTGGCTTGGGTAAAAGCCTGCCCATCCTCTCTTCCTTGACAAGGCAGGTCTGAGGTGGTCTGAGGAAACAATGTGCTTTTAAATGGAACTGAAAACAGAATGGAAAATGCTGTTGTGTCAAGTAAATGGGCTACATGGGCACATTTTATGCTTGGATCTGAAACCCAAAGCATGGAGGTATTTATTTTTTAAAGACCCAGTAGGAAAGCTTCCATACAAGGTAGTTTCAATAATTACCTTATTATTTTGTAGGTGAAGTAATAAATTTGAAGGCTGATATACAAAGCAGCAGGAAATGTTGACCATAGAGGGCATCACATGAAGAGGGAAGTACCTTGAATAAAAATGTATTATTAGGCAGATAATTCCGTTAAGAAATAGGCTGGCTGATAGGCTCTCATAATCTTTGGATTATCTGGAGAATCTTTTATAACTTGAGGATTACTAGCCCCTTTGATATTCCTGTGCCTCCAACAATACCCTTCCGATAATTATGCCCATTTTTTAGATAAGGCAACAAAACCCAGAGGCAAATTCACACAGTCAACTTCATGGAGCTACACAGACAGCAGTGCACCTCCCTGATTCCATGTAGTCACACATGGGGCTTCAAGGCCCTTATGATATTCAGCAGGACTTACACACACTTAATCACATGTCATTGGCCCTTTCTGGCACTCTGTGTCCTGTGAAATTGAATGTAATTATTAAAAGGCTCCTGGAAGGTGTAAAAATACTTGCCTGTTTTCTTTTCTATGAAGTCCCAATGTTAGTGATTTCCCACCATAAGAAAGACAATAACTGTAAACATTCTTATGTTTCCATGGATACCAGGGCTTAGATGGAATACGCTGAACAATGAGCACATTCCAACATACAAGAATGTACTATCAGGTATCTCTTTAACATGTTGATAAGTCTTTGTAGAACTGAAATTTATTTTCGAACTCAAACGTGTTGATAATCCTTTGTAGAAATAAAAGTTATTTTTGAAGTCATGAAACAAATAGCTACTATAATTAATGAGATCCCTAAAGAATGTTTAAGAAACAAACCCTGGGCAGATTAAATGACTTAGTGGATAAAGGCACCTGCCCAAAATCTTGATAATCAGGAACCCATATGGTGAAAAGCTGAATAGAATTGACAGAGTTGTACTCTGACCTATGTGTGTTCCTTGGTGAGACCCCACAAGTGCATGCACACCCCGGCACACACACACACAAAGATACAATGAGGAAGAAAACCAAGAAGCTGTTTAAAAGGAATCTCCAGATTCCCAGAGACGTCTGGCACAGGGGAAATGTTAGGGGATCCACTAGGATGACCCAATTTATGAATCCAAGCAGTGGTAGAGAAAATGCCATTCATGCCATTCCCCTATCATGAGATTGGTGTCTACCTTGGTTACCATTCCTAGAGCCTTCATCCAGTAGATGTTCAAGGAAGAAACAGTATCCCACAGCTAAGCACTGAAACATACCCCTGGAATCCAGTTGAGAAGAGGGAGGAGGGATGAGCAAAGAAGCCAAGATGGTCCTGTAGAAACCTGCAGAAAGAGTTGACCTGACCTAGTGAGAGCATGGCACCCTAGTCAAAAAGCTAGGAAAAACAGCATTGGATCAAACCAAGCCCTCTGAGTGTGGGTGCCAGCTAGGAGACCAAGACAGTCTATGGGACCTCTAACAGTGGAGACAGCCTTTAACCCTAAAGCCCAAATGGACTTTGGGAGCCCATTCCTGATGGAGGGATAATATTGCAATGCAGGTACACCAAACAATATGGGAGACTTTGAAGGTCCTTGGTGTAGGGCCTCACTGTCCCTGGGGAGGTGTTTGGGGATGTTTTGGGAGGATTGGTGGAGAACATGGGAGGGTGGGAGGGTGGGGAAATGGGGGTAAATTTATATGTACATATGAGTAGCAATTAAAGAATAAAAAAGAGAGAGACTAAGACCACTACCACAATTTAAAGCCAAATTTGATGTAAGCTTTAATTAAACACTGGCCACGTCTATCTCTGGGATTCCAGAAGATGGCCCAAATTCAAGTTTTACAGCAGGTGCAGTCAAGGGCAAGCACACATCCTGATGTATTATTTCCTGACTGTGAGGCTCCTGCCCAGAATGTGATCAAGCATAACCATTGCTGATGGATCAAATAAACTTGTTTTGGGGAGTAAAAAACAAGTGGCTTGTTATCTCCCATAAACAACAGCCTCCAGAATCTCAGAAACTATCTATCCTTGAGCAAGAGGCGTACACATCAGACATTTTTGTTTCATCGATCAGTCTCTTAAGCTCCCATATTGGCTATTAAGATTGTTCAGCATGTAAATGTGTTCCTCAAAGCCTGATAAACTGAGTTCTATCCTCAAACTCTACATAAAAGTGGAAAGAGTATGAACTTTAAGAACTTGTTTTCTGAGCAGGGCGGTGGTGGTGCACGCCTTTAATCCTAGCACACCTGTGAGTTCTCGACCAACAAGGTCTACAGGAGTTAGTTCCAGGACAGCCTGCAAAGCTACAGATAAACC